ATAAATATATCTCACTGATTGGATGTTTTGGTGTGTAGTATCGCTGAGTATTTTTACGATTTGTGCCGTATTTTTACTCGCCTTACTTGCTCGTCAAAATATTGCAGGATATTTGTACTCTATTCACGCATTATTTGTACTCTACTTCGTGCTGTGTGATAATAATAAAACGTACTGTATCAAACAATTTTGTTTAACGATAAATTGTTCCGAAAATCGTTTTTAAGAATAGCTTTTTGGCATATAAGTCTTGTCATTGCTGTTTACAGTACCTATTTATTTCCTTTTCTTTATTCAAAACGTCATTTTACTTTGCAGAAAAATGCAAAAGAAATCATCATTTGAAAGAGAAATTGTTAGAAAAAATGCATAAACTTACATTATGGTTTTGCTGTGAGTCTTGTTTATACACCACTTAAAGGATGATAGTGCAATTAATCATAGGCTGTCGTACAACACCAGGTCAGATTGAAAGTTATGCGCACTTTACGTAGTCAAAAATAACCTGTCATACGAAACGACATTTTTCATTTGCTGAATACGACTCAGCAGGAAGATTGGAGCGAAAAGTTCCTGCTAAGCTAAAAGTTGGATAAGATCAAATAGCATATTCGCAATTCCTGTTTCTGGACAAATCGTAGAAAGCTATTATTATCCAATTTGTGAAACAGTATCCGGTAGACTCGAGAAAAAAAGAAAAAAACAGGCAGTAAGTGGTGCGTAGACGCTGAAGATGAATTTGTGCGGGAAAAAGCTCTTTGCGCTTAAGATAATCGTAAACAACTGAGACCAGCTGAATTTCCTCTAATATTTTATTCGATATATAAATATATATATACATATATAAAACAAAAAACAGACTTTTTTATAGGCCATTGAGTTCAAACCCTACCGGTTCCTCCTTGTATTGCCTTTAAGATAGACAAGTCCTCTAATATTCAGAAATTGAGCATTTGTTTGGTTAATTTTAAGTCAATACCTCATGCATTTCTTAAAGCCAAGAGGAAACAGATAATTAACTAGGAAAAAAAAACAGAGAATTTTTACTCAGTGATAAGGGATTTTCGTGAATGCCCATAACAACGAGGATGGCCATAATTCGGTTGTCATCTGATCATCTGAATACACTCAATGTGGGTGCAGATGGTGGAGCATTACTTTAGTTCAACGATAAAACTGACAAAAGTTAAAGAGGTGTCCTTTTAAAATTTGTGTCTTCAAGTGATGGGAATTTAAATACAGTAGATATTTATTTAGGGTAGAATCGCCTCACTCGGAGGACTTACAAAAAACCCCTCACTAATAACATTTATAAAGAGAAAATACTCTTTAACTTTATTGAACACCTACTGTCAGCTGTTTTAAGCTTAGGTTAACTCGTATTTTCTCTTATTGTGAATTAATCATATAACAGATCGCAAAATTGTTTTCGCCAAGTTCGTTTTTTGTGCCTAGATTTTCTGGAAATATTTTCGTAAATGGTTCTTTTGTGTTGGGTTAATTCTGCAAGGTTTTTTATACAGAATTTACGATTGGAGAAGGCCTGGTTTCTACATTTCTTTATATATGTTAACTGACTCCTCTTAGGAGCTTGTATTCAGCGACTCGATTATTGGTGGCCGAGTTTGTAAACATAACTTTCTTTACACCTTCTGAACTGAATTTCTATTTATTTGTTATTTTAATTTATGGGAAAGGCGACACCTCAGGTACGCCCCTTCATCTCCAATTTTCTGTTTGCGTTATTGTTATGTAACAACCTTTAAAGGTAATTTTCTCTGCTGTTCTCATAGAAAGTCATATTCTGATGTCGCTAGATCGTGTTCGTTATTCTGGAATTGAGGTATATCAGTAAGAAAATTAAGGAGTAAAGTCGTTTCTGTAAATGATAAATAAAACGAAGAAAGTTACTTTGTATGCATGAAAAGTTACAAGCAGCCCAACACGATTGGCTGTCGTAGGTCGATGGACATTTACTGAAAATTCTCTGACACTTGGGATGATTGCCGTCACCTATAAAGACTGTTGTCTGGTCTTGCGAAATTGATTGTAACGCAGATAATCCTCTTAGAAGTTGTCATCAATAAAATAAAGTATAAAAAAGGGAGAGTTAGGAAGAGTTACTCCCTCAACACTTCACCGTCAATTAACAGGTTTTGTGTTGGGGCGTAAACTGGTAGAAATAAGTGATAATTGTATCGGAAACACGTGGCTTGTGACGTAGTCACTTACATCCGGGATAGTTGAAAATAGTTATTGTTGTACTTTGTGAAGAAAACAAGAAATACATTTTCTTGAAGCATTATTTGTTTCACTACTTCTCAATGTGCTTCTTGGGGCACTGGTAACATTTGCGGCTCGCCCTCCAGGGGTTGTTAGGAGAGGCTTAGTTCAATAGCTCAGATTAGGAGACACTGGCACAGAGCCTGAACAGGTCTACAGAAAACGAAAATCTGAGGTCAATTTCCTAGATAACATTTACACCAGTAACGACTCGGGCGGAGGCGTCTGCATGAAATTGCTCTTTCATTCAATGTCCTCACGTCTTGGTTGACGATCGTAGATGGGCCATGTTAAAGAGTCCTCCATCCGTCCTAGTCCTGATGTACGTCCCCATTTTAGGTTAATGTTGATCGTTTCCTGAAATGTAGTCACATAGATTGAGAATAACGTAGGGGCATGGACCTTATCTAAAGCCATGATTAATGGTGTGTGGAGCGATCAGCTCGTCACTAACTGACACTCTTCCAGCATTCCTTCGTAGAAAAATTTGATAACGTTGACAAGTTCACAAGTTTATCTGGAAACCCACACATTTCCAGGATCTTTCACAGCGATTCCCTATCCACAGATTCAAAGGCCTTTGAGTTTTGCCTTTGACAAAGACAACTTAAAAAGGTTGATGTTACTCGATCGCCTTCTCCTGTAACTTCGAAAGGTGAAGATCTTGTTCGTTGTGATGCTACCAGACCTAAAACCAGACACAATGGCTTTCTGGTAGAACTTCCTCTTTGATTGTCCTGAATCTCTTCAAGATAGTTCTGGCCAGGATCCTCCCCACAATTGAGACCAATTTGGGACGTGGTGGCTGCTGCTCTCACTCCTGTATTCTTCCTTCTCGCAATGGTGACGATAAGAACATCATTATAATTTTTAACAGTTGTTCCCTCTAAGCGCATCCAGCTTTCTTTGCACCTCAGGTGGGATTCTTTCTTGCCCAGCTGTAGTTTCAGAGCCGGTAGTCCTAACTGCCTTCTCAAGGGCGGCCATGGACATTCCGCCATCCAGATTCCCTCTGGTTTGCGTTCTTCTGATTCTTACCCATGTCTGCGGCGGCGCGGGAACGAGTCACATGACAGCTGATTGACCCGAAACAACACAACTTTCACTATTTTTAACGACGTATTCGCTTTCTTGTTATTTCGAGGCTATTTCGCTATCACGTTTGGTCTCTTAACTTCTGCCACTTTTTTTGAAAACAGGTATGTGTAACTTCTCTTATCTGTAGGTTAACGTGATCTTTACGTAATAGTGGTCAGGAGTTTAACTCACTTTCGTTATGTCTTCGGATTCTGTTTTCACAACTTTCGGACATGTATTTCTCGGTGCTTATGCCAATACCGCCAACAGGGGACACTATTTATGTCAAGTAGAAGAGAAAAAGTAATGAGAAAGTGGAAATCACGCATTCTGAACGCTCTATTAATCTTAAATTGTCACAAGTAAGTCAGCTTCATCGGTCATGATTTCAGATCGAAGGAAAATTTATATCAAAAGACGTAGTTCGAAATCATTTTAACCTGAACTTTATTTAAGCCTACATGATCTACTTTGATAGATAGATAACAAACCCAGTAGGAGCACATGCTATTCAGTCTGTTGTAGAGGCAGTCATCAAGAATTATGAAAAAAGATTTTGAAATACTCATAATTTGTATTCTAGGTTTTACAGTCAGCTGGTGATCAATTAAAAGATGGAAGGTAAGTTTTCACTGGTGGTAGGTAGATAATCAGCAGTGCCTCCTTTTAACCGGAGTCCAGACTAACCAACAAATTGTAAATCTGTGAAATGTTTCAGCGAGGATGACTATAAAGAACGAAACTCCCAAGAAGATAATTAGGAACCAAATTTTGCAGTGCATAATTGTAATTCGCCTTCAGTGATCCCAAAGTGATATACAAATCTTGAGACTAATGCTTGAGTTATGCTTGGTTCTGAATACGGAGCCATGGATGTTGACATTATGTGAGGTGGGCTGCAGTTCATGCACAGTCCTCAATTAACCAATTCAATGGCAGCAAGAGATCTTTCTAAAAATTTATAAAACACATGGTACTTGAGGATGTCTCTAGAGCTGGTTGGCAAAATTGCCAGAAGGTACTCTCCAGCAATAAAAGCTGTATAAGCACATTACATGTAGCATTCTCTTGTTTCAGTGAATGAATTGTCAGAAACTGCAATAATAATTCCTGCAGTTCATCAGCCATGAAAAATCTGGAGTGTAGGCAGCAAATTTTATTAATTACCTACTTGAGTCATATCAGACATTCCCCCCTACATTTATTTTAAAAATAACAACTAATGCAGTAAGATATCAGTGAGTTTAAAGAGGTTACTGTATTTATTCACTTATAAGGTGCACTCGGTTACAAGACACACCCTAAACTTTCAAAGACAATTGTAACAAATGAGCAAAATGAAAATTTCATATAAATACCCTGTTATAAAGCGCACCCAGAATTACGGGAAATTTTGTTGACCATGTTCACTGTACTTACAACAATTTGCTTCCAAAAGTTACTAATTACAATGCTCTCATTCTCAAAACAAAAGCAAAAAAGTCACACATGGAAAATAGCATAAAAGTCACATTTTTTAATTCACTCAAGTCATCCTTCTTAGGAGACAGTGTTTTGAGTTATGAATACTAATTGATCCATTTTTATGCTTATAAACAATACTCATCTGACAGATCTTTCATTCATCAGTTGCAAAACTCATCTTAATCTTCGAGCATTCATTCAGTTTACCGTAAATTCTCAGTAATTATGCCAAGCACTCATTCAAGTCCTGTGGCATCAGCCATGCTCTCGATGGAACTGAAGATGATGTGGTTTGGGATGACAAGGAAGAGGAAACAGAAGACACAGAAGAGCGGATTGACAATGAGTTTGAGAGCAAAGCCAAGGACGAGTAGCTGAGCTCAGCCTAGCTTTCAAACAAACAGTTCTTTACAGAGCCACCCCAGTTCTTTTTAGAAACAACAAATCAGATAAAGTCAATGATCAACTTCGTTTGTCTTTTGTTTATTCATTTACCCATTGGGTAAATGAATAAACAAAAGACAAACAACAAAAACCCATTGGGTAAATGAATAAACAAAAGACAAATGACGTTGATCATTGACTTTATCTGATTTGTCATATTTATTTACATACTCATTTCAGTTTATTAGGGAAATTTGGAAAAGTTATATTTTGTTGCATGCAAATACTCGGTTATAAGATGCACCCCAAGTTTTGAGCAGATTTTTGATCAAACAAGGATATTTTTTTGTAGAAAATGGTGCGCCATATAAGTAAATAAATATGGTATAAGGAGTGTACATACTCATAGTATATCCAACAGGCAATTTATAAGAATAAAACAGAATTATTTTATGACCATCTACTGAACTTCTGGTACTAACAGACATTGAATGAAAGTTTTTAAAAATCCCTTACTAAATTTATCCATTTTTTTATTAGCTTCTTCAGGGAAAAAAGTTGGGGAGAATCCTCAAAATGAAATAAGTCATGGAGCTTCAACCAAAAGTAATTGTCATCAGCTTTCACAACCAACTGTTGATACGGGTAACAATCACGATACAGATAGTGACCAGGTGACAGAGTTGGCTGAAAATTTTCCTGTCCATCTGACAGTGAGTGACCTGGAGGTAGAAATTAGTGCAGGCAGCTCTGAGGGTTCTGGAAGCCAGCCAGTTAAAGAAATGCCCACTGGAGATCCAAAATCAGTTTCCCCCAGAGGAGCAGGTTTGGTTTGTCTTTGGTTTGTGTTTTCCACGACTTTCAGTCTAAATGCTTATGATAGTATGGCTAACAGAGAACACTATTTTTGTAAAAAAAGAAATGAATAAATAATGAAAAGATGAAAATCAAACTTTCTGGGAGCACAATAATCACAAAGGTTAATTTATGGGCAACCATCTACAAATTGGTTCAAATGGTTCTCTTATCTACTCAGTCTAGGGAACAGTTTTTCTGCAGTTTTAGTTGTTTGGTGTCGCGCTATTTTGCAGTTTGTAGTGAGCCTAGGTGGAAATGATTCTAAACACGGGTGATTTGTGTTTTCTTTGATCTAGGTAAATCAGCTTAATTGATCATGACTCCATTATGAAGAAAACTTTGAATTGAAATATCTAATTTAACATCATTTAATTTACTACATCACTTCCTAAATTCTTGATCTATTTTTTATTTATTTCCATATTGTATTACCTTCTCCAGGGAAACAACATAGTGGGATGCAACAAGTTGGAAAGCCTGCTGAACACAGTGATTACCATCACAGCTTACCTTTGGTTAGTGTAAATATGGGTTGTGTTTTTATAAAATTGTAGACAGTTCTACAATCTCTTTTCTCTATTCCTTTAGTATTGTCCAAAATCATGATGAAATCCCTCTATTAACCACTAATTATCAACCCTAATGGCTAATATTTATATGAACATATTTTTATTCAAAAGGGTTCAAATTGGAATTCTGATCCTGGTATATAAAGCCAATAGCCTGTTGAATAACATTTTTGTTTTTGGTCATGGTCTTTAATTCAATATGGAGTATTTCTTTGTATTTACAACTGTCATGTGTGTCCCTTTCTTTCAGGGCCAAGATACGTCAGTTCCAAACTTATTAACTGAAGATTTTAGGGAAGCAAAAGAGGTTTGTTGTCAAACTGCATGTAACTGCTAACACTAAGTTTATCAAACTGTCCCTTTTCTAACATGGTTCATTGTGGTTAAGTGAAGTTTTTTGTCATCAATATGATACAGATATAAAAACATGACTTTGTGCAGGCAATGTTCATAGTTGAGTTATTAACATGCGTTGATTTTTTTTAATGCTAGGTTTACTTTAAGAAATTACAAGAGGAAAATGAGGATCTTAAAAAGGTGTGTGTTTTGATTAATTTAAGTAACCTCTCAGTGTTAAATTGTTTTGTATGACACACATTATCATTTATTTCCAGAAAATTTGGCCTTTAAACTGACAAAGCCTTTATATTTTAGATATACAGCCAGTCTTTCAGTTCCACTCTTTAAAAGCATTTACATGTATTACCAGTTAGGATCTAACAGTACTTCAGATTACTTTAATTCTTGAGTCTTTTGGTAGGCATTTACATTGAAACAGGTTAAGTATAGAGTTCAACTTCTACATTATAGTGGCATTTAGAGCAAAATAGCGATGCTGTACTGTACATAGCTCAACAGATAAAAAATACTTCCATGATGAATGTAACTTCAAACAGAAACTTTCAAAAAAAAGAGTTCAGGTAACAGGCAGATTTACTGCTGTCTTAGTCTTAGTCTGTCTAATTCATTTTGTCAAAATTTTGACTTTATTTTAAATGTCCTCTTTTCACCTCTCCACAGGTCCTAGAGAAGAAAGCTGATGAGGTAGAGGCTTTGCAAAAAGAGATTGAGGTATTAAGAAGTTTTTTTTCTTATTTTACGCAATCTGTGAAAATTTGTGCAAATATTGGTATGGAATTTTGGCATTTTTCTGAATTGTGTCATCTTAGTGTGGTAATGTCAGTTTCCTGCATATATCTGGTTTATAAGATGTTTTGTGTTACTTATCAGGTGAAGAAAATATGATGGTCATTCAATTGTCATCATTGTTATTATTATTATTATTATTATCAATAATTATTTGCACTCAAGCTGTTTCCTGTAGATATTTTTCCAGTTTTTCTCTGGTTTCTGCCGTTCCTTTATTTTAGGTTAATTTCTGAGCTGCAACTTTTGAAGTTGTGGCCACTGTTATGCTGGCGGGTGTATATTATTAGATACCCATGAATTATTTTTCTCTGGATGATTGGCTAATTATAGATCACAGGACTTTGCACAAAGAGGGATGGTGTTATGGTTTTCTGTCTCAGGGTCATTGCACATTTGCACATATATGTGAGGCCAAATCAGGGTTCAAAGCAATTCTGTGATAATTAACTTGAACCCTTATTGGTTTTAGTACAGGATACATTTTCATCCAATGTTTTTCTCCAGGGACCAATCATAAAAAGAAATATACTGTGTTATGTTGTGTTTTGTCAATATATGCAAGTTTGTCATTGGCTTGTGGCTCTTTTTTTTTTAATACTGACTGAGCAACTTTTTTAGGAAAGCTCCACCCGAGAATCAGAGAAGAATGAGTTGATCAAAAAACTGCAACAGGTTTGATTCTTTTTTTAAGTACACCTATTTAAGTACTTTGTAGTGAGATGTTCATTTAGGAAACACTGTTATTCAATAAATAACAGATTTAGGCATCAATCATTTCTTATGATATAAATTTGTGGACAATATCAGCCTCATGGACATAGTGTAGGTGTATATATATATATATATATATATATATATATATATATAT